TGTTTATCATACTCTCAAGTATATATATTTAAATTTTTATGTTATTTAAATAAATATTTATAGAGAAAATTAAAATATCCGGTTTTTTTTGTTACGCACTATATGATTAATAAAATTCAATTTCGAAGTAAAGCGAAAGGTTTTCAAAATCAAAAAAATTTTTTTTTTCAAAATCACACGGGATTTTTCCGTGTCCCTGGTATGGACGTTATTTTGCGAGAAATACGGTACATGTACATGTAATTGCAACTCCTATTAAAGCAGATTTTATGCAATTCAGCATGGCGTATGTTGATTTTTTGTCTATACACATTTATATTATTTTTTTTTTATATACAGCATTTTCCTTTATTTTGATTAACTCTTAGAAAATTTTTTATATTTTATTTATTTAAATAGACGAAAAAAATAAACTCAGGCTGCCGAATACTTGGAAACAATACCTTTCGTTTTAACGCGAACAGATCATCTCGAGTTAGCCAACCAAATCCTTGGCGAAAAATTAAAGTGTATACAATTTAAAAAATCAATAACTAAAAAATCATCGTACGCTTTGAAAAATTGAATTAATCACGAATAGTCCCAATATATTGAAGAGGAAACATGCAATCACTTATAACAGATGCATCAATCCAACCGCGTACATTTTCGACTAATTTCTCTTTTAGTCGACGGAAAGCGAATTTATATTTCTAGAATGAGTGAGTGAAAAGAAAACTTTTCATTGTTCTCGCTTCGTTTTTAATTGTCTTAATAAGATAGTCATGCTAATTCCGAATAAGTTTTGGGCGTTTAATGTTTCGGTAAATAAAATAAGTAGTTTAAATAATAATTTATACTACGAAAATTGTTGTGATGAATAAGTTTCGCGTTACAACTTATCAAAAACCGGTACAATATAACCTTTACATATGCGAACGCGGTTTACATCTGTAAACCGCGTAATAAGGCGTCATTTTACAGACTTTCATATATTTCAATATTTACAGACATTATATTTTTTCAAACCATTTAATATAATCTTAACTATAAGAAAATTTGCACGTAAAATAAATTAACATTAATAGAGTTGATCAAATAGTCAGCTGATAAGGTATACGTAAACAAACAGCCACAATTAGAAATTTACCATAAAACCTTTTTTCTTCCAACTAAAAAGTGCAAAAAATGAATTTTTCATATCTTTCACCAATAACCGAAGAAACCACTGATGACGAGTTATCCGCGTCACCTACAACACCAACAACCACCACCTCACTAAAGAATCTACACGCGTCATGGTCTTACAAAGAAATTAATAATATTAATATTATTGATTGTGACGATCTTTATAGTGTGTGTCAAGAAAGAAGTATCTACAAACAACAACAGCAGCAACAAGGTCAAATCAAATTGGATTTTTACACTATGCGGGACAATCATCTGGAATCTGGAAGCGGTGATGAAAATTGCCACCTAAATACATCTAGTAACAGCAATGGAAATAATAGTCTTTCTAAATCTTATGGAATTAATAAAGAAGGTTTGTAGTATTAAAAAACTCGAAAATTGACTTAACAGAATAATAATAATAATAATAATAATAACAATAACACAGATCAAGCCCAAATATCTAAACTTCAAGCAAATGAAGGTAATTAATTAATTTATAAGTTAATTATATATTTTATTTCTCCTCATTGAAAAACAGCATTTTATTTTATAATTAGACAAAATTTCACAAGAAAATGTTACCGAATTTCCAGATATGAAGGGGGCAACGCGCGTTCGAAAAATTATGAAAGATATAATAAAGAATATTAAACAGGAATCTGAAAATGTCACCTATAGAGTATTAGAAACTTTTCAACATTTAAGTATGAGATTTACCTCCAATGCTTTCTTCTTTACTTCATCGTCGAACGCGTTAATTTAACTAACCTATTTTATATGTTTTTCAAGATAATAC